ACTTCCTGAGAGTCATCTACGCTGTGTAACGATGGTACCAGGCTTCTAAATGATACATGCTTTTCCGTTGCAATAATTGTTTAGCCAGTTTCTCGGTGAAAGGAGCCTTAGTGTTCTCATTGTTGAGCTGTCGTCGGAATGATCGTTTTATTGCAGTTTCTCTACTTACACTTAGGTACAACCATATATGTGCTCGAAATAACTTGTAATCACCGACCGAACACGTGCTGCAGAAGGTGCAGCAATCTTTGACCGACCCTGTTCAGCGAAAACTGATAGAAATATGATCTATCCGAGCTTACAGTTGAGTTGAGTTCAATGGACAACAAGTCACACCGCGTCTATCTTTATGTCTAAAGTTCGCCCTGGCCATGCATACAAGGTTATCTGAGTACAGTTGTAGCAGGTGATCGCCGTTATTTGTTCTTCCGGTTGAGATACCAAAAGTGCCACCTTAGTGTCTGTCTGTCTGTATGCTTTAGCTTACCCTCGTATGCAGTGAAACCTTTCGCTACGACAACCACATCTGAACGTTTGGTTTTTGGTAGAGCTCATCTGAGCTGCAGTCGTGGATGCGTAAGTAGAGACTGCAGAGAAAACGACGAGTTTCATTTCTCCCTCCAGTCCTCACTGTGCTGTTCAGTTGAACGGTGCATAGGCCCTGTCAATTGAGATCCAGTAGAAAAGTGCACTTTTTACAATAGTATTTACTGCAATACCTAAACCTACCAAAACTTTGAGAACAGCCATTGAATTTTTTGAAGTTTGAAAGGTGAATTTTGCGAATACTCTGTATTGGCTGTATGAGGCTAAGTAGATGACCTTATGTCCTGTATCTGCATTTTACAAACACAGGAAACACTCTTGGACCTAGATACCAGTTTTCTCTTGGGAAGGTTGTTCGTCATATTCACGGAGAATGCGGACGGTGAAAGCTCCAATGTATGGTTCGCTGTTAGATTTCAGGAGGTAGACAGACAGACTGTTCTGTGAACTAGAATCGTCAACAAGAGCTCCAAACTTGTATCAAATTAAAGATGACGAATGAATATTGACCGAGAGAAGTAAACACAACGGTTAGAAGGCAAGGACGTTAAGGGTTGATAGTGAAATGGAGGAACTTGAGGGCTGACAGAGTTGTGATGGCCGTTGAATCTTTCTGGTTGCTCACTCCGTAGGAGGTTAATTCTTTTTAAGGTACCTGGAAATGAAGGTTTAGTTTACAGGCGCAGAGCAAAAGGGGTATCTGCTGCAGAATAGTTTCATGCAGTCTATTCAGAAGTCTTAACATTTGTGAGTTTTGACTCCGAATAGGAACCAGTGTAGCCGGCACTGGTATGTTGTGAGTAGAATGGAGCCTGTAACTTTTAGGGTCGACTTTCTCTAACTCTGTCTTCCATATGACCTTTTTGGCATACCAGGACCTCAAAGAACAAGCTATAGTAGCTCATTAGGATTTGCAATCCTGACCACAACGTCAAGGTAGCAGCTGTCAGTTGGTTGTTTTCGTATGACCTCTACGTCCACTTACATGTGGTAGTGAATGACTGGAAGTTGTCAAAAGGTTTGCGCACCCGGATAGTTTTGTGAGTGATGAAACTTCTAACAGTGTGTCAAAAGCACACGCCAGTCTAAGCCACCATTGGCGCCATCGTAAGGTTAACGTTGCTGAAAAAACGTCAAGCAGACAACGCCTCAATATTAACAGTTCTGCTCTGCGTTTGGGAATCATTACCTCTTCAAGCTAAGAATTTTCGATGACTCTGCAAGTTTCATCACTTTTGTCTCCTCAGTATTTCTCACAACCTGTGGAAATACCATGGATGCAATCCTGAGGTTAGACCATATTTAGGCATGATGGAGATTGTTAAGTGTGATTATTTTGCTACACTGGCCTTGTTGGCTTGAATTTGATGTGCCGCTCTCACACCGATCACTGTTCGTTTGCTTCGGAAGCGGTCAAAAGAAGCGAAGAGGTGGCTAGTGTATGAGACGTAACCGTGGGACGAAGTATAGTAGTGTTTGTTTAACATGCAACCTTGATGTGGTCGGGCTTGTGTTTCACGATGACCCAACAAGCTATGCTGGTGGGACCTGGATACCTCTAGGTGCTACCATAAGAGAAAGGTCCGTTGGATAGTGGTTAGGTCAAAAGTAGTTACCCTTAACATGTTCTCAGACAAAGAAGGGATGCATTATGATGATTTGGACCGGTCATCGGTGGTTAGTGATGATCTAAACCATATGACGTATGGTCAACTACATCTCCCATACTATAGGCCAGTTATCGGGGGATCAGAGAGGCCGTACGTGACTGGCCTCAATCAGATGTCCCCTGGGCTCTGCAGTCACACAAGCCATTTTCTCTTCCAGTACCATAAGAAAAAGTATCATTTCATGGTGTGAGTAGCTGGGAAGTGTCAACCACCCGCACGCTTCCAGTAGTATACCAGACCCTATCACCCATACCCTAACCCTCCTCAGCTCTGTCTCCCCATTTACCTCCGGCTCCTGATAGTAATATTAAATCTCTTATGTTTTACTCAAGATCTCACTCTCCAACCACTGTCAACGATCAGTGCCATCAAAATCTTATTCCTAGTCTCTAAAGACCTCATCATCGATTTCATGTAGGAGCTTCCAATGTCCGAACTCTATGTCAGATTGCACAGCAAATATCACTCACCAAAACTCCTAAATCTCTAGCAACGGATGTATGCTGTGTTTTTGAGACACGTAAACAGGACACGAGTGTGGTTCTTAAACTGACCTCACCTTGCTATTGTAGTGAATGTTTAAAATTCACCCTATCGTTTCTGGAAACGTAGTGCTAGCTCTCATGGACTCGTTATAACACTAAGTTTTCCGTCAGAAAGTGCGCTTCTTTTCTGGATATCAGCCAACAGCTGTCTGTGTGATTTTCGACTGAATGAATGTGTAAGAACTGGGAAGGATCGCGAGACTAGGCGTTGTCTATTCGTAAATTCTGCCTGCGCACCTACCAACTGTAGTTTGATGATGCAAAGGATGAGTTCTGGGGGGTTGTGTCAATTTCGCTACTGAAAGTAAAACGTTCAGACATAGTCATAATGGCAGGTGACTTAAATGCTCGAGTAGGGAAGTTGAGTTGAGGCAACCGGAAGGGCATCTTGGTGGTATTTACGGAATCTCATGCCAACGAACCGACAACGGTGACTATCTCTGACAATTTTGTTCAAATTATGTGTCACACGGCGTCCACCGACATCTAACCAACGATGGACACAGATAGATCACATTGCTATGAGCTATTGATGGAGAGGATCGGTGGAGGATTGCCGCTCTTTCTGGAGTACCGGCTTAGACTCCGATCACGCGCTCGTGTATGTCTTTACCTTACTGGTTTTAGGAAACTAGAGACAACAAGCTAGTCTGTGGTCTATTGGAAGATGAAAATGTCAAGTTTACAATCAGGTAAGAACTAGCCAAGCATTTATCTGAACTTGACAGCAATGTTCATCTGAGGAAACCTGGCGTGACATTAACTCTGCCGTAAAAACAACAATGAAAACAATTCTTAACATACACCCGAAGGTTCACAAACGTCATTGGATTTCTGCAACGTTATATGAACTGACTAGAGCGAGAAGACTGATTCCAGCTGGCTCTGATCACGACAAGGAGCAAAAGCAACCTAACCTTAAGTTGATGAAGAGTATTCGCGTCGATTGCGAGCAGTTGTGGGTAGCGAAAGCAAGGAAGATGGGGAAGGCATCAACGGTGAGTAACACTTGGCAACTATTTAGGCTTATTAAGGTTGCAGACAAGAAAAAACGACGGCTAGTGAAGCCATCAGCGAGAAGGATGGGTGCTGATAACCTCTCAGGAAGGGAGGCTAGGACGCTGCGCTGAACACTTCAAGAGAGAGTTCAGCTGGTCCTCAGTTATCCAAAAACCAGTCTGAATCCGAATGAGACGGAAATATCGGCCCTCCTACTCTATTTGAAGTTGAGGAAAGTGTATTGAACCTGAAACGATGGAAAGCAGCAGGACCCGACACGTTTATCGTCTGAGGTTTTCAAAGATGGAGGTAGGAAATTGCTGCTAAGAGTGACGGAGGTACTACGTAGTGTATGGGAATCAGATGTAGTCCCATCAGACTGGTATACTTCACTGGTCGTCCCAGCGTATAAGAAGGGGGAGAAATCTTGTGAAAACTATAGGGGAATTAACTTGACTGATATTGTGTCTAAGGTTCTACGATCCATAGTTATGCGATGCCTAACTGGAGCCCGAGAACAGCAAGTTGAGAAAACCAAGCAGGTTTCAGACCTGGTCGAGGATGCATCAATCGTATTTTCACCCTCCAACAAGTTCTGCAATGCGAGTATACCCACCTACTGGCGGCCGACATTTGCTATATTTCTTGAGTAGTTAGAAACCACTCAGGTCAATCCTCAGGCTTTTCCAGTCCGATCATAGTGATCTAAATATCGTATGTCTGTTTCACTCGTTCGGAAACGAGTACATCAGCAGTTAGCCAGAACAAATTCAGCTTGTGGAGCCGGATTAGCAGGAATGGCTGAGAAGCGAAACCAGCGGCGAACATTTTGCAGTTTACTTGTTTCTTCTCTTACTGAAAAGTAAAACGAAAGTAGTGAGTACTTCTTTGAAAGTATCTTCAAGAGTGTTTTCTAAATGACCCACTTCTATTTTTGGTTCCATTCTTTGTTCTGTTTTCAATTTTTCGGCATGGCAACTTTAGGTACTGCACTTCTGTACCAGTTTCTACGTTGACCTGTATACATCAATAGTTAATCGGTTTTAGCCTCAATAACAGCACTGAATTTTTCATTGTGATATAGACAAACGTACCTGAAGAAATTTTGATAGAACAAAACACTTTTGCAGTATTGTTTACCGTATAAATTGTACTCGAATCATCCAGTAGGTAGTAAGAATTGTTTGATAACCCGTTTTTATATTCTGTGTTTGGTGGAGAAATATCACCCTCGTTCCAGATGCATATATCGTATAAACTGTTTTCTAAGGCGATATTTTCTTTGGAAAAAATCTTATACAGAGAAAGAAAATATCGTCTACAAGAGGAACATCGTCGTATTATGCAAACAATGAAAGATGAAATAAGCCAATTAATCAGTGTAATGAATAATTCAAACCTGGTTAAGGCAAAGCTTGAAGATCAAATTGAAGAGTATCAACTAGAGGTAAGATCTCCATATTTTGATGAACCGAAATTTATTCACTGATTGCTTACCTATGTAATGATCGTCACAGAATATTCGCTATTTGAAGATCACATGATAACTAGTTATTCAAATCAAAAAGTTAAGTTGATAACAAGCACTCAGTAGTATCAAAGAACTGACTTAATCATCTTAATCAACCACCTAGTTTAGACCATGGTTCACTAGAATCAACGTACCTGCACAACATAAAAAATCATCCTTACAGTAAAATACACTTGTGATTTTCGATAAACCTTAGGATCTGCATTGTTTTGTTGTAACAACTTCTACATGACTGCTAATTACAAAATAAATTATCAGAAGTTTTAAAAATTCCCATCATGTAAATTAGAACAAAAAAGGTGCATGGAAGGGTTCAGAAATTTGAAATTGAAAGTTAGTGAGAATAGTCAGGCTTTATAAGATGTTAAGCCTGAATATACCTATACCATTGTAACCGATTTTTAACTATGTCAACATGGGTCTCAAAACATTGGTTCCTATTATCTCGAGGATCCCAGCTAGGCAGTCTACACCTCTATACACAGCCCAGACCAACAGTAAGAGAAGTCGTGTACTTGTGCTGCATTTTTGTCTGGTCCCTCTGATACTTCTTCCAATCTAATCTAACATCGGCTGACATTGCACATCGAGGCAGGTGTTGGCTAAGCAAGCATATCACATGCCTTGCCTAATACACTTTTCAATCACCTTTGGCACCGCTGTGATATCCGATTGTCTATTAAGGGTCGTATGCACTGCACTACAGTCCACTCTGTTCTAATGTATAGCTGGCAAACATGATCATTGAAGGTGGAAGACATGAAAAGGCTTCAAGTGTTTGACCACTGGCCTACCAAGCGGTGTTTCGTGGAGTCACCACATAAGTATCGCAGACGTCAGGTATAGAGTTCTAAGGAAAGAGGTAAATCAGTTGACACGGTTGTGAGCTTTATTGACTGAGATGGTTGGGACATGTGTTACGTATGCCTAGTCGCCGATTACCTTGTCACACAATGTTGGCTGAAGTAGATCAAGACTGGAAAAGGGCCTAAGGTGGCCAGGCTAAAACATGGCACCAATATATGAAGTCTTTGACTGTTGGTTTGAGTCATGTAGGGAGATGCTTTATATTTCTTTTGACTGAATTTTCTCATCTTCATCTTGCGCCTCATTGCCTTTTTACTTGATATACTGATATGAGCTGTCAACTCGAACCGTTACGCAGTAACGCCTGGTCTTATCTTGATATTGATGATCGTGATGATGATGAAAACACTTTTCATAACCACGACACTGCTAACACGGTGACTTAATCATAGATGAGCAGTAATGCGAAAATACCTGGGTTGAAATACCTGTAATTTCTTTACCAACTTCTACTTTCAACGACCGGATATCGCAGCTGTATAACAGTGCTGATGATGTCGTCTAGCAAGACGATGGGAGCTTCACGATTAAACAACCCAGCTCAGAGAACACAATACAACCAAGACCATCCACCTGAGCTACAAATATTCCCCATCGTAGTCATATCTCTTCAACCGACGCCAGAGATAACACATGTTAGAAAACTTTGAACAACTGTTCTGTTATCGAAATGAGATTTTGTGAACAACCATCCCTTTCGGTCATCGCATTTCACCGCTTCACTTCCTATTCCTGAACTGGGACGAGATACAAACCAGTCCTGAGGTACCGTCTTACACCTATCATATGCGAAATGCTTACCCGTCAAATATACTCAGATTTCTGTCCAAGGCGCCCCGGAAATCCTGGATTTTATCACCGTCTTCACCTAGGTGGACAGTGTCGACTACACACCCCAAGTCAACCAGATGCTTTTCAGGTAATGCGTCAATCCTCATATAGTCAGAAGCACCTAAGGTTATGTCCACTTATACATGCAACGAAGTTAGTCAGGGACTGTGACGGCAGACATCTTTGGTAGCCACCACTGGTTGCCATCACAACAGACGATAACCCACATAGCCATTGAATGGCTGCACAGTATGGCACTACTGGTCATCCCCGGAAAACACCTTATTGCTGCCACATCACCTTTCGGCTAGCAGTACGAATTCTCCCCCGAACCCCATCATAAAGTAGGAATTAACACTATACAGGTGACTGATTTTCGACTTATTATTATCCAGCAGACCTTTTTGACATGGTAGAGCTTCAAGCAGCAAGCGTTTCAGGCAGTGTAGCTCGTTGGTTCATTGTGGTATTCAAGTTCTACCACCACTTCAAGGCAGCAGCTATCGGTTGGGAGAAATCTATTGACCGCTAGAATGAATGGGAATAAAATTGTGCAGTGAGAGATATGCGACTAATTACCAAAAGACCACTTAGTATGCTGCACTGCAGGAGGCTATGTCCAATTTCACGTTTGTGATACATGGCTGCTGAAAGTAGAAATTGGTGAAGTAATTACAGGTATTCCAACACAGGTGTCTTCGCAGTATTGCTCATATATGATGAAGTCACCATGTGAGCAATGTCGTGGTTAGGAGGAGTTTTTTTCGGCAAGACATGTGTTGTCCATGTTTAGCCACCAACCGCCTCGATGTCCAATGTCAGCGGATGTTAGATTAGGTTGGATAAAGTCTCAGAGTGGCCAGACCAAGAAGTGACACGAATATATGAATTCTCTGACTATTGATCTGGGCAGTGCATGGAGGTGTAGACTGTTTTCCTGGGGTCCTCAGGATGATAGGAATCAGTGGTTTGAGACCTCAGTCACAATGACGCAGGTGCATTCACTGTCTGACTTTTCTAAAGCTTGATTATTTTCCAAGTCCCTCCTTTTTCTATATAGCTTTGTCTGTTTTGATATCAGTCTTTTTCTATCCACTTTTTTGCTTGTTAGTGTGCCGTGAATTGTAGTGACTTGTACCGACGCACTTGTGTCCAAGGTTCTGTTTTGATCTTGTCTATGTGTTCGTAGCACTTTGCTGTCTCGTACATTGTAACTGTGAGACATAGTCATAAGTTCTGGAAGAAATTCGAAGGTTCTAGGTGGTTGATGACCATTTTTTCCATAGTATCTCTAATATTTCTTTAAAAGACCACAGTAGTAATGCAATCATGGAGAAAAAACTGAAAATCGAGTAGGCGAGAACTTGGCATTTATCTATGAACTTTTTAACCGCTGGTCTGAGTCCATTAAGTAATGGTTGTTCAACTTTCAAGCTCGGGTAAAATCGGTGTTTTGAGACCCTAGGATTTATGGCTTAGGATCGGTTACTGTGGGGAAACTGTACCTATTCGTTGTCTTTCTTTTAATTGTAATATCATTATTCTTTTGTTCTCACTTTCTACAATTTCACATTACATTATTTTGGTTTTATTTTGAGGGATCTTGAGTGCGGAAGGGAATGTGAAGTTGGTTGATACTTCTCGATTAGTTGCACCGTGGAAAATGACTTCTTCATGAGATACCTGGAAAACAAATTGAAGCAGTAGTAATATGATGCGACTTCAGAGTACAAGGGTCATCTGCTTGAGGCTTGCCACACAGTCTTTTTAGAAGTTTTATTCTTAACCTTGATTGTGTTGTTCCTATGTAGAAAAAATATACCGCTGGTGACGAGAAACTATATGGCAAGAAGGGATTTATCTTGGGAGCTGACCCTTCCATAAGCCGCAGAGATGGCGCTCTCATCATGGTACTGCCGGTCATCCACTGGAAACGCCTTACGGCTATCAAACACTGTTCAACCAAGAGTACAACTTCATCCTCTGACCCATCACAGTTTAGTCATTGATACTATAGCGGCAACTATGTTTTGTTTCATGACTATCCAACTGATCTTCCTGGAACGTTTATTCCAGATAGACTAGCTCTTTACGTTATTCTGATCATCCGTTAAGGATCAGGATTATTCCTACTTCTTTGCCTTAGATCCTGATTAGATGATGTAATTTGTGGCAGTTCGGGCTGTTTTGATGCTTGTTTGTTTTCCTGTTAGATTAAACAACTTCATGCTACAATAGAAAAAGAATGTTGGAGAGAGATGAACTGAACTCTGCTTTGGCTGAAACAAGAGACCAGTTAATGAATTACCTTGGTAGTCCATCGAAAAACCACTTATCAGATCAGAAGCAATCTGATCAACATGAAAAACAAAAGGATCCCAGTGTTTTATTACCACCGATTACTTCTCCATCAAAGAAGTCTGAAGACTCGCTTGTCAGGTGTCGGATTGCCTCGAAAAGTTCAAGTACTTCTTATTCCAACAGCAGTGGTGGTGGTAATACTAGACGTCCTCTTCAGAATCTCAGGTGAGAATTTTCTTACCTCTTTATACCCGTACTGTACAACTATAGTTTTTACCGGCTTGAGATGCCTAATAAAAACCTTAGCTTTAACTACTTGTATCCTATAATTATGTCTACCAGTTGGTTACTATGATTGGATTATCTTCTAAACACTGACTAATACTCGTCATGCTAGCATCTCATATACGCCAACCAAACAGTTGATAAGTGAAGATAGAATATATCTATGACTCGCTGTAGGATTTGAACTAGTGACCTCCAAAATGAATCTCTTAGTTCAGTTTTCAGAACACCACGTCAGTAACCTGGAGGTTACTGGCTTGAATCTTGACGTTACCCAGATTTCTTCTCATCAATCCATCACCGTATATATCAATGATACCAGCCTAATGAAACATAGCTATCCCAGATAGTCCCATGCTAGGACGAAACAGCTTACCAGTGCTCCCAGATTTTCAATGGTTCCCCAACTGATGTCAATCCATGATGAATACTACTTCTAAATTAAAAAATCCTCATTCAACTCAAAGACAATTTATTTATTTGTAGGTGAATGAAGATTTTAATTTTGCGGTAGTATTCATCACCTGAAGGTCTTTTGTTCGATTCCTACCCGGGTCGTGGATTCGTACTGCTGAGGAGTCCCATGCTAGGACGAAACAGCTTACCAGTGCTCCCAGGTTTTCAATGGTTCTCCAAATGATGTCACTTCTTGATTAATACTACCTCAGAATAATATATTTAGCAAAAGGCGTAGAAAGTTTGGAGTGCTTAAAATATTTATGTGATCTGAACAAATTATGGCAAGTAAAGTCGTTCACCGGTGCTTGGTTGTTATTCTCATTCACATTTCACATCGCTGTTGATATGTCTGTTGATAGCTGTAACAGAATCAACTGGACCGAATTGATCGGTCTCTATTGGCATATGGGCTCCTATGCGGATGCCTCGATATTGCCTGCGTTCTAATTATGTTAATGATGGATCGTGGCTAGCAGTGGAATCCAGGATGCGCATTTCGTCCTATTTAGGACTCATCAGCCGATAGAGACCGATAAATTCGGTCTAATCAACGACGGTACCATATAAGAACAATTATACTAAAACTATACTCGTCGCACAAGAAGTGCCTATCTTGACTCGGTGGTGTAGTGGATAACGCCCTGGCGTTTGAAGCGATCGCTCCAGAGTCCGAATCCCAGTGGGAACAACATCACTCACTGGGAAGCAGGTACATTCAGCTGACGAGTCCCAAATAGGACGAAATGCGCATCCTAGATTCCACTGTTAGCCACGATCCGTCATTAACAGAATCAGCTGGGAACTAAGACAGTATACTTTTCTTTTAAAAATAATAGAGTTTTTTTTTCTTTCATTTAAAACCTTTTTTCTTACCGAAGATAAACAGATTTCAATGTTCAGAAAGTTTATTGCACTCTCGTTTACACTGAACATTTACTACCTGTAAAGTAACGTAAATAATTTGGTGCTGAAAATTACATGTTATTGAAAGACTAGAGAATACTGAAAGCTTATTTATTTAGCCCTTACAACTTTTATTTAACTACTTCTCAGATCGAACCCAAAATATTCTGTGCATCGACTGCGTATCTTAGGCCCACGTGCTGCTTTTCGTCATTTCATTGCAGTATTATACTTCTAGAAATTTTCATACAACATTCTTGCCACTAACCTCGCCTAGTTTCTTAGTTCACAAGTTTACTAGCCGGTCCTAAGCCCGGATAAAGAGGGAAGGTTGGGCGAAGAACTAGCAACCCTACCTCTTAAAACCAAACCAGTCGCTAAAGAAACTTCAAAGCACAAAGAAAATATGAAAAATAAAAATAAACTTATTACTTGCTGGAATCGGATATGCGTAATGAGTCCGGTTGGTGAAAGCCTTCGCGAAGCCAATTGACCGATATATCTTCTCTTCTCTCGATGAAAGCAAAAGTAAGCATAGAGTCATGGAATATCCGCACGATGTTTGAAGCTGGCTGGCAAGGCTGCCCGGATTTCAAAAGGAATGGGAAGATATGGTACAGAAGTCCAAGAAATATGCGAAAGTTGGTGGAATGGAAAGTGAACTCTCCAAACTGTCAACTGGAGACTCAATGATCTACTCCGATATTGTCACCCAGACGACAACCACCACCACACTGAGTTATGGATTGGCTATCATGTCCCCAAGAGCCAATCTCCTCCTGCAGGATCATGACAGCAAGAATCAACTCGAAAGGATGGAAAGTCACAATCATTCAATGCTACGCTATGCACCTACAAACAATGCAGATGAAGAGAAGAAGGTGGAATTCTACAGACAACTGTGATCAGTACTAGACAAGACCCCATCCAAGTTAACGACATCAAAATTCTAATGGGTGGGGTGACATAAATGCAAGACAAACTGTGAGTGGACAACACAGGAAGAGAACTGGACATGGGTGGAGAAGAACTCGGTGAAATGATGAAGGAGAATGGATAACTGTTTACAGACTTCTGCGCATTCAACGATTTGGTGATTGAAGGCAGTGTGTAGAAACACAAGGAAGTGAAATGGATTTCACCGGACACCAGGACTCACTAAAAACCAGATCAATTTCACCTCAATCTGAAGAAAGTGGAGACGCAGCCTGCTAGATACAAGATCAGGATGGGGAGTAGATGTAGGTTCACACCACTCACTATCTAATGCGAGGAACCCACCTTCAAAATCAAGTTGAAAGCCTTCACAGTAGTTGATGATAGACCACAGTACAACAACCACCCAGAACAGAAAGTGAACTGAAGGACGAAACTTCAAAGGATATCTTCACATCAGTCATCAGGATAAAATGGGAGACATTAGGCAACATCCATGAAGAAACCTGCGTGGAAGAGCACTGGAACACTTCGAAAGAGACGCATAACCGTATTAGGAAGGAAGAGGAAGAAGAAGCAAGACAAGGAGTGGGTCTTGACGGACACATAGAAGCTGAAAGAAGACAGGAAGATGGTGAAGCAGAAGATGAACTGAGTACAACCTATAAAACACTACACTGGACAAAGAAGTGAAGAAGAGTGTGCGCAAAGACAAAAGACACTTCTACGACACACTTGCAACCGAAGCGAAACAGGCTGCAGAGAGTAGAGACAGAGACCAGACTACATTATATCAAATGACAAGGTTACTATCCGGGAGGGAGGACATCAACGCAGATGAAACCAATGAAAGATAGTGAAAGAAAGTCAGTTACCAAAGGGAAGAAACAAAGGAAACGATGGGCTGACCACTTCAGAAAACTCTTGAATCGACCACCACCACCTGCAAGTCGTCCAGAAATTCCACCAGCAGCCAAGCCACAGAACTATCCGTGAAGGCAAGCCTTCCGACAAAAGAAGAAGTGAAGTCGTGAACGCCATAAGGCTACAGAAATGCGTGAAAGCAGCAGGGCCAGATGTAATTCCTCCGGAAGCACCGTAGACAGATGCAGAGTCAACAGCATGCATGCTTACACCACTATTGCAGAAGGTTTGAAAGGAATGAAGGAGAGGTGCCTGCCGACTGATTGGAAGAAGGGTTACCTTGTCAAACTCCTAAACAAGGGAGACCTAAGCCTTCTCAGGAACTGGCGGAGAATCATGCTCCTGTTCACCCCAAGCAAAATATCAAACCACATTCTCCTGGAGAGAATAAAATATGCCCTGCATTCAAAATTACCACCGGAACAGGCTGGCTTCAGAAAGTATGAACCATATGTGGATCAAATTGCAAGGCTACGCATCATCATCATAGAGCAGAGCATAGAATGGCAGTCAACTGGATCTCTACCTCAGCTTCATCAACTTTGAAAAAGCATTCGTTTGTGTCAACCGAGAAGTAATTTGGCAGATAGCTGCTTCAACACTACGGTTTTAGTGCCACAAACCTATATCAACCTCATTCAACAACTATCTGCCATGTTATATGATGCTACATGTCAGGCGATTCACAATGGGAAGCTGAGTGACGCCTTTGAAGTGAAGACAGGGGAGAGGAGTAAGACAAGTTTGCCGCTTACTATCACCGATCATCTTCCTGATTCTGGTCGACTGGATCATGCAACAGACAACTGTGAAGAGACCCCAGACGAAGATTCGGATTTCGCCGGTGATGATTTATGTCTAACGTGTTGTCTCACAAACTCGAAGATGTACAAGTGAAAACTAACAAGTTGGCAGAAGAGGTGAGGTGAGGTGAGGCGAAGCGGGGCGGGGTGAGGCAGCTGAGGAAGACGGGACTTCCTTCAGGTGAAAGTAGAGAAGACAGGTGATGAAGATACTCAACCAACAGCAGCAGCAGCGACAACAACAAGAAGAAGAAGAAGCAGCAATCACCATGAACGACAGAAACCTAAAGGATATAGTCTGTTTCACACACCTAGGCAGCATCGTCTCAACTACGGGCGGCGACGGTGGTACAGATGAGGATATGAAAGGCAGGATTGGAAAGACAGCAAGACAGGCTTTCATTAACCTGAAATAATCAGTGTGGAGATCTGCTGCACTGTACTGTACTGTACTGCACTGCACTCAGCATAAAGCGTGAACAATATCCGGATTTGCAACACTAATTCAGTCAAGTCAGTCAGTGTTTTAATGTGATGGTTGAGAGACTTGGTGGTGCGTTACGGAAAGCATTTGCAACAAACTGCACACATACATCACACATGAACAGCTGCCGTCTACGCTCACTCGAGAGTGAAGGTGGCGATCAGATGGCCAGAATAATAGGAATAAGCAACAAGGAACTCTGGTTGGTTGGCTCGCTGGCTGGCAACGAACCAATCCACCAACGAAGAACCCATTGCTCAACAAATGTGCAGTAGAGAGTGGATATGGATTGGGATTAGGCATACAGTGAGAGGAGCATTTTGTGATGTCACACACCGGGTCAGGTCAGATCAGGTCAGGTGAGGTCGTCGTTGAGTGGAACGCACATGGTAAACGATGAGTTGGGCGTATGGGTGGGTGGAGGATGACATGGAGGAGGAGATGGTGTGAGGAAGAAATGAAAGTTTGTGGGCAGTAGTGGAGCCAGGTTGAGAAGACTGAAGAGAAGAGAGTCAAATGGTGACGTGCTACTGAAGCCATGTGTCCCACTTTGAACACAAACTATAAATAATTTTTTTTAAAAGATTCCTGCCACTAGTATGTTAAGTTTGTTCGAATGTAAATTGTAGTCGTACCTGTACGTCTTTCCTGAGGTTAGTGATAATAATTTAAAAAACTCTTGATATGCTGCCAGTTGATGTTTATAAATCCTCTGAAATATTGAACGATTTGATTTTTGCCAGCATAGTGATGTTGCAAGTCTTTGCAATTCATTTTGTAGATTATATTTGTCTTATCTTCTTTAGGGAACAAATACCTTGACATATATCTAAGGTGTTATCTTTGGATTTGAGTAGTTTTTGTGCCATAATAGTGGTGAACGAATGAAAGTTTCCAAGGCGTTCTTGCCATGCGTCAATTCTTTTGGCCAGCATTTCCTTATGAATCTGACTGAATTTGAACACTGTGACAGAAGTTACCTGTTGACTTTCGTAGTTGTTCAGTGATAGTTTGAGTTTTCATGAATACGTAAAATGGTAGTATTATGTTAGAAGTGGAATCCAGGATATGCGTGGCGTATCAATTTGGTCCAATTGAAGATGGAATATTATGAGCTATAATGTCTAAATGGTACGATCGTAGTTCACAATTTCACGCTTTATCTGATCTTTCTAAATACTGGAGCTTTTACAGGCTCTGTGTTGTGTTTTAGTAGTGAGGATATCTAGAAACACGATTTTCATTAGGAAATCCTGGAAACACTTCAATGCACGGAGATAATGGCGTTTAGTAGACATCATATAGACATAAACCCCAATATGTTCATTACCAAGATTAGGCCAACCAACCGGAAATTTATCAGAAAATCAATGAGCAAACATTAGGTCAGTGGCAAAGGTCATTTGAAAAAAAACCACGATCAAAAAGGTAAAATTGTGGTGTGAAAGTTACCATGACCAGAAAGTAAGGATGTACTCTAACTGACAAATTTACTTCTGAACAGTGTATTCTACGATACTGATGGGTCAAAGAGAAGCTTAATAACAGGACTTTATATGAATACTATAAAATAGCTTTTAGGTAATATTTCTCTAAAAATGAATATGATCATTGTTCTGTCTTGACGGTCGTCTTTTTTTCAACAAAGACAGTGACTTATCGACAACGCGCTTGCCAACCACGCTGATTTTTATGTGTCCTACTTACCACAGGTGTCCAAGATTCACTCATTACAAAATCTTTTCATTCGATGTTATTCAGATGAAAGGAAACAATTGAAAAGGAAGACAGTTCCAATGGTGCCCATAAAAAAAAGAAGCAGGAGTTAAGAAGAACACTATCGGACAGAATGGCCACCCTTTTTAAATTCGTCCATATAAACGTCAACTACCAGTGAAGCGTTACGATATATCTTCACTTATGTCAATTCATGTAGGTGATTGTGGATATGACGTTCGACTTGGAAAATGTGGAAATATTGGACAGAGGGAATATGGAGAATGCCAGTGGGGTATTAGAAGCTTGAAACTTAGGCCAGTCAGGGATCACTAAGCGTATGGACATCGACCCAATCAATCAACGCGAAAAGCACCAGGAAGGTCAGAGTTCAGTTCAACAGGACAACCAATCAAGTTAAATGACAACATTAAAGCGGAAACGACCGACTACACCCGATATCAACACGACAAGCCACTAAGAAGTTTATCGAGAATTTCTCATAGCTCACTGCTTTCTGAAGTTTGTGCTCATGACAATGTCTACAATAATAGTGAAAGCTTAGCCATTAAACTATCCAAATCAAAAGCCACAATTACACAGGTCCTTCTAGTAGAGGTCAAGGCGCATATAATATATTAAGTACAATATTGGAACCACCATCTGTCGGGTGAGTTGCGTATGTCGAGTGGTGTCCGTCAACGATCCCCACTTCCTCCATTCCTATTCAGTTTTATCATAGACTTTCATATGGATGTCACTCTCCCGTCATCTGACTACACAGGGATTGACTCAATCACAGAATTTTCGGTTGACCTAGAATACACAGATAACATAGTCAGTCCTGTTAGGTGAAGACACTGACCAGATTCAGAGTTTTCTGGACACCTTGAGTTGCAATTTGAGAATGTTTGGGATGCAAATTGTTGCCCCAGGACTGGTCTCTGATGATGCCCCGGCTAATAATAGAGAGTGAAATAGTTGGGCTCACTGAACACTTCACTTACTTGGGAAGTCGGGTCAGCTCTACCCTGGTGTGTCAATGGTCGATGAAATCTCTGCACGGATACAAAAGGCTGGGTTGGCTCTTACCATCTGTAGCGCCTCCGCGATATTCCATTTTCTACTTAGTGTTGAGTGTACTGTGCAGCAGTCCACTCTGTTCTCCTATATGGTTGTGAAAAATGGGGATTGAAGGTAGGAGACATGAGAAGGTTTAAAGTGTTTGACCACCTTCGTAGCATAGACCGTGTTTCATGGTGTCAGTACGTGAGTAACACCGAAGTCAGATGTAGAGTTTTAAGGAGGTGAGGTAAGTCAGTTGATGCGGTTGTGAACCTTCATCGACTGAGATGTGTGTGAGATGAGTTACGTATGCCCAACCACAGTCTGCCTCATCACACAATGTTGACCGTAGTAGTTCCATTTTAGTCTGTTTATTAGAAACAGACTAAAATGGAATTACAATCGACCACAGTGCCCAAGTTTTACACTTATATTGAATGAAGTAGGTTTAGGCTGGAAAAGGTTCGAGGTGGACAGACTAGAACATGTCATCAATGCACGCAGTCGTTGACTGTTGGTTTGAGCCATGTATGGAGATGCAGACTAGCCGGTTGGGGTCCGTGGGAGATGTGAAACCAGTGGTTGGAGACTCTAGGTGGTATGGGTGAGAACTGATGTCAGTGGTGCAGATGTGTACAAATACATTAGCCTCATCTTAACTTGTATACTTAATCTCATCATTTTCTCATTCTTCCTTCCTCTTCTTTACTACTTTCTACTTCTACTTCCTTTGGCTGATTTTTCTTCCCTTCTTTATCTTCCATTTTATTGCTTTGTTACTTGGACCGTTATGCAGTAATGCCCTGGTCCTATGCTGATCATCATGATGAAGATTGCATTATTGAATGTGAACTGATAGTCAGTTTCAATATTTATTTGTAGCTAAATGATTTCAGAAAAGAAATCATACGATAAACACTGTCTTATTGGTCAAGAGATGTTCACTTCTAGGCTTAGAATAAGCAACCACCTCTAGAAGTGTTCCTGCAGATGACTAATGATGAAACGTGATGTGCATACTGCTTTTTTTTTCTAGTAGACCGGCATCAAATGACCAGTTGGCCAGAAATTGCTCTGCAACTTATATTATGAATTTTCTACTTCAGAATACCATTGAAAATATAGAGGTTAGAGATATTTATACTACATATGACTATTTGATGAGATATGGACAGTGAGTGAAAATGAAATAAAGGGGTAGGTTACAGCAGGTTTTAGTCCAGCAATCTCCGGATTGCCGGGTAGGCAAACTGCAGACTGAACTACCAAACACCAATTCCACTTCAATCACTGTAATCTGTCCTCAACTACGTGTTTCTCGTCGTCATCATCATATCACCTGTCCAGACAGATCTTTTCCAAATCAAAATCAAGTCGTATTATAAAGCTATTAGGCAGAACTATCTGAAATAAACCGTAGTCCTAAGTGATAAAATGATGACTTTATTGAATATTTGTATTTTTGCCTAAATATTTCCTTGTTGTTTTGTTTATTTTTACACGAAAGGAATGTGAAGGATACTTCTGGATTAGCTGCCACACGAAGACAAATTGCTGCCATCATCTCAGCAACAAAATTTCGATGATAATTTTTATACTAATAAATCGGATTACGTCAATCAATATTTGTAAAACTTTTCACCGTATCCTCTTACCTGGTGTTATATATATGCATACAAACCCAGTGTTAGAACTTTGCTATTCATAGATATGAGCTGTATCTAGTAAACTGATTCAGTCAATTAGCGAATACCAGGATTATCTTGGTTGTATTGTGTTCTCTGAGCTGGGTTGTTTAATCGTGAAGCTTTCATCGCCTTGCTAGACGACATCATCATACCAGGATTACTTTGTATCCCTTTTATTCAAATATTTCCATCGAAACCTATTCCGTCCATGTTAACCAAACAATTATAGGAAAGACGATTGTTATTTCTACTTTTTATGGGTACCTTATCGGCCATTATTTAGAGAAACGGATCAAATTCATCAGCTCCAAGGAATGTTTATTCCCCTCAGGCGAATTAGTCGTTTGTAATGAAACAAGTAACTAGTTATAGTTTAAACAAAACATACGTTGAAAGTACAAACTGAGGTAACATACAAAGTATGTCGGCTGAAGTTCTCACAACCGTTGATTCCTGTCATCTCGAAGAGCCCAGCTAGGCAGTCTACACTCCCATACACAGCCCAGACCAACAGTAAGAGAAGTCGTGTACTTGTGCCGCGTTTTCGTCTGGTCACTCTTATACTTCTTCTAACCTAACCTAACACCGGCTAACATTGCACATCGAGGCAGGTGATGGCTAAGCATGCACAACATATATCCAGGCCAGCTCAGTTGGCGAAGGTTTACGATCTCATCGACTGTCTTCGCTTCCCAGTACTTTTCGCCTAACCTCTACTTGCTCATACAGTGACTTTATTATATGTGAGGAATAAATATCTGTATTCTCTTCACACTTTCTACCTCCAACGGCCATGCTTCACAGCTGTATAGCAGGATAAAGCGAACATCAGTGCAGTATAATCTTCCTCTAGCAGGTAATAAAGTATCTCCTTAATCGGTGTCAGAGATGAGTCATGGCGACAAATGTTAAACGACCCTTTTGTGTCCGAACTAAGATATCCTCAGCAGCCACCCCGTTCTATCTGATGCAACTTCCTAAGTAAGTGAAATGGTCGACCCATCTAACTACTTCATTCCCTATCGTTGGACTGGTATAGTAGCTGCAGACCAGTCCTGAAGCACCATCTTACACCTGACAAGTACAAAACATGTGCCCATCAAACCTACTCAGATTTCCGCTCAAGATGCTCACAAGACGCTGCATTTTGTCAGCCTCTTCACCTAGCAGGACTGTGTTGTCTGCATACTCCGAGTCGACCAGATGACCTCCAAGGAGCAGATAAATCCCTGTGTAGTCATGAGTACTCAAGGTTATGTCCATTTATACATGTGTAACAGAGTTAGACAGTAACTGTGACAGCAGACATCTCTGGTGACCACCACTGGTTGCCATCACGACAGATTACTACTTATAAGCCACTGCATGGCTGCGTGAGTTCGAGTAGAAAGCTTTGAATTAACATTACTTTCTTCCCCAGTACTTCTTTCATTCAAACACTGCCATAACACCTCGTAGTCGACAGAGTCAAGTGTCTCATTTAGGGCAGCAAATATGGCGTGTTGGTCACTGTGCTTGTGTTCTATGACTTGTTGAAGTGTGAAGAATTGGTCGATGGATTCTCGTCCGGGTCTGATAACTGTTCTCTAGAACTCCAATTGGTGTCGGATATATATGGACCTTAGCATCTTGAACACGATGTCAGTTAAACTGATTCACCAATGCTTGTCACAAGAGGGCTTTTTTCCCGTAATATGAACTAGAATGATCAGTGAAGTGAAGTAGTCCGTAGAGACCACCTCCGATTCCTGTACACTACCTATTACCTCCGATGCTGTGCTCAGTAGTTTCCTAGTTCCGTCCTTGCAAACGTCTATTGACAAACCATCATGTCATGCATCTTTTCAGGTTCGAAGCAGCTTTCTGAAATCTGAGGATAGAGAGCCTACATCTGCGTGCCATTGCGGTTCCGGCCGGATACTGGGCAACCAAAGCGTTTCTGTGGGTTAGATAGATAGATGGTTAGGTTTTTCTTACACTAATACCTACTTCGCGCATACTCATTGTCTAATCGAGTAGGCTTCAATGCCGTCTGTTTTCTGCGACCATTAAGATGCAAGTATACACTTGTTCGTACTAAAGCGTTATCAGAATGGAAGTTGCTGCGCCAAAAAGAGCTGTAATCCTGCACAGGTTTTCTCCAACGATGATTTATAACAATATAGTCGATTTATGTCCATCGTTGGCTTGATATCGTCCGATGACATTTGAGAGTGTCTCTCGAAGTGTTTGAAGTTAGTGCTGGTCAGAAAGAAGTGGTTGTTAGAAGAAAATTCTAAGATATAATCACCATTGTCGATTCGTTGGCAAGGGATTTCGTAGCTAGATTGAAAGCTATGGATATGTTCACCGTTTGCGTCATCTGAACTGCAGTTGATGGGCAGGTAAGTGGAGAATATGCTTAGGCATTGACGATTTATACAATCTTTCCTAGTTCTTACAGATCCATTCAGTGAAACAGTAAGCATAGTTCATTCACTGCTATGGAGTCGAGAAGTGCACTTTATGCTCCACAACTCGATGTTATACCTACACCACGAGAGATAGCCACTGAATTTCCGGAAACCCATCAAATTAGTCAGGTGAGGTCAAGTGAATAACCACACTCGGGTCCTGTATGCGTGTGTCAGAGATAGCATACATTTATTGCTCGATGTTTCAGATTTTTAGCGGACGATACCTGGTGTGTGATTAGGTATTGAGTTAGGACTTTGAAGAAGCGGGGTCTTAGGAGGCTAGAAATGAAATTCTGATTACTTGAAACGTCTACATTGGTAGCAGAGTTCGGTTGAGGTAGTTGTAACAAGTACAATATTATTATCAGGAAGTGAAGGCAAGAGAGGGAACAAGGGTACGGAGATTACATTATATTCAGTTGGATTTTGTATACTGTTATATATTCCGAGTGGGTATAATACTCAGGTTTAACTGACAGCTGACTTCCTACGTTAGAGCCATTGACTACAACCCAAGACGAATAAACAACAAGACTGAAGTTGGATGGGAAAGTTTATTCCTCCGAGAATAATAATCATTTAAGCCGAAAACACGGATGCATGCACATGAGATGTGACTTTGTCTGCAAATTGAGACATTAACATCATAAAAGTAAGCGTTAACCAATCAACAAATTACATTGCAAACGGGGACAAAATGAACTATTGGTCATGGGGTAAAAAATGACCTACAAACGACAATTTAAAAATATTCAGATCGATAACAATCTTTTATGCAAACTGGAGCCTTCCGACATATACTACTGGAAGCATGTGGGTGGTTGACACTTACCTGCTCCTTACATCGCGGAAACCTAGTTGTCCTTGAGGTATCTGAAAATGAAGGGTTAGTATGCGATCGCGTAGTCAAATTGACATCTCGAGTCACATACAACCTGTTTAGAAGTTTGAGGTGTTAGTTCGCTTTTCGCAAATCCAACTACGAACCCAAGTCGCCAACATCGGTATGCCGTGATTAGGGGAAAGTGCTTTTTTTAAAGCCAACCTTTTTCTACACCCCTTTCTATAGGGAAGGAGCATCTACATAGTACTGCTTGTCATCCACGACAGATACCTTACTGCTGTCACATCCCCAACCAGCCAGTAGTAAAACACCCTCGGACCGCCATCATAGCGCAGGAATTAACAATATAACAGTGACTATTTTCCGTCTTATCGCTATCCAACTGACCTTTCTTGGATAGTAAGACCTTGAGATAACAAACGTTTCACCAACAAAGCATGTTTTGATATGCGAACCGGAACAGCACATCAAGTAAGTAGCAATCGGTCTTGCAATAGGTCACACTTGTATGAAGGCTAATGGAATCTTAAAATACAATAAATTGTAGCTAGATATTTCTGATCTTATTTGTCATACAAAATCACATACCGAGAGTGGAAAAGAAAAGTTGCAAGAATTACTTGCACGGCATGCCGATGCATCATATTTTCTATCGGAATTAACAATAATATACCGTTGGAAATTCCTGCATTTTGTATTATTGTTACCCAGAAAACGAATGGCAACATGTAGAAGTTAAGCAACTGTGGTGACAATAAGAATTACAGTATTCTTCTACCGATCCGCAAAGATATTCCACTAATCTGTTTAGTGTTACACTGTCTCCCTATTGGAAGCAAGTTTTATAGCTTGTGTCGAAATCCTATGTTCCTCATATGCAGTTCTCAAGTATGGCAGTCTACACAGAGTTTCAAAACCTATTCGACTAACTTAACCCAATTCCCCTAACTTTAGATGATGGTCGGGGTTGTTTTGAAGCCACGTTGGTGGATATAGCTCACAAATCTTCGAGAGGATATCCAAAGAGACAAAAACATTTTAATTCAGGGCTTTGAAAGAACTACTACAAAATTCAGATATAACCGTCCTCGGAAGTGGCGAAGTTTTAGGATTGGTGAACATGGGTAAAAGCGACAATATGTAGTCCAATAGCCCAAGCTTTCTCAGTGACTAATCGAATCATCGAACCCAATCAAAAGGTATATTTTAGTTAATTGATTGCTCCGACGGTAATTACCTTTGAATTAAAACAATGTAAACCTTTGTTGTTAACGCTTTATTCACTGATGTTTCTTTGGTCTAAACAGTTGGTATTTTGTGTGATTTCATTTCCAAGTATAATATTTCATTCCGTTTCTTTGCTGAAAAAACATTTATTACTATTATTTACTAACAATGTAAATTCTACATTGTTCCCTGGATGTCCTACCATGAAGGTTTGATGGATAGTCTAAACAAAAAGCAGTTAATATTACGGTGTCAACTACCACGCTATGATGGCGGTCTAAGTGGGACGTCGTATTGCTGGCTGGACAGGAGTAAGATGTTCCCCTCGGATGACTAGCGCTAGTAACTTGATGCTGCCTCCCATACGGGAA